ATTTAAGAGAGATGGAAAGTGGGAGAAAGAGATCGACCTCACAATTGGAATTGCCAACGGCTTCCTGAGTGAACTATGCTGAGCCGTCGTGACTAAAGCACAAATGAGTCTAAAAACTAAGCTGTCTGTATTCAGGTCGCTCTCCATCTCTGTTCTCACCTATTATCACAAATCATGCATGCTCCAGGAAGGAAGGAGAAACAGCTACTACTTTCTAAACCGATCGGTCGAAGATCCCTATGACAGTAAAGAATAACCGGCGGCAAGTGTTTCGAAAGAAACCCAGGCTCCAATTATCCTTCGTTGAAGCTCAAACGCTGGCAAAGGACAGGGCAAAATCGGAGCCACTGTCTGACGCGTCTGCCTCAGCGGCCCAAAAGGATATTCGCCTGTCATCGAAACTAACCAATACTGCTGTCGACGGTAGAATATGGTATTCTACACTATGATTTTAGCGCATTTCACTGCACCAGCTTACAGTATATTAAATCGCACTAAACTATATTCACTTCAGCAATATTACGTAATTAAATGTTACTTCTTCGAATTTGCTCATCCATGGCTTAGGACAGCAAATATAGCTGATAGATAGGTTAAGCCGCCGACAATGAAAGCTCTCTCATCAGCTTAGGCTGTTGCCTCAACCACAACCAGCAAATCCTTGAATTTTCTATGAATGGACCCAGAATCGAAAATATGAATTCCTATTAAATGATACCTTATCAAGATGCTGTTTAAGGAGTCAGCCCCATATGAATGTGTTGTGTACAGTTTACCAAATCGTACTGGATCAACCTTCAGGGAGCGTATCGAACAAATTATTTACATAAATTATTCAAAAATAAATAATCATTTTACTACAGGACAGCATTGGTTTTAGCCTCAAGAGTGTTGGAAACTTTCAAACTCATTTGAAATCAATTACTGTATATATTCGAAGAAATAACATTCATCAGCGACAGGGTACCAATAGAACAATGAGTGATGTAGTGACAGCACCAAGCTAACAAGCCTTTGTAGTTT